TCAAAATAGGAGCAACATTCTACACACACAGACACCTTCAAAATGAGGGGTGTTCAGGTTTTTTAAATGCAAAATTGAAAGAAATACGTCAAGTTGATATTGACCACATTTTGACCGTTTAACCCTTTATTAACGGAATCCCTTTATGAAGAGGGTGGTTCATGGTGTTGAGTACTTGGCACTGATGAAGTCCGCAAGTAGTAGACGAAATACGCGTATCTGTCAACATATAAGCAATTTTAACGGAATTTAAAGGAAATAAACCAACAAACTCAAGGCTCTTCATACCCTGATTAATTTGGTAATTTTTCATTTCTTTAAATCGGTGAAATTTTACTCACTAATGGGTGCTTTAAAGCTACAGATTTCCGTTGCTCTCCCTCTATTAAGGTGAAAGCTAATGTTTTTTTTCCGTTGATACTGACTCCACACCCAAATTCAAAGTGCACCAATACCAACAAGCATTGCAAATTAGCAAACTGGGAAGTATGGAAGTTTTGACCATATTCGTAAATACAATATTATTGTAAAGGGTCTTCCATTAAGCGTTTCCTATCTTTAAAGTTAAATAAAACAAACTGTGTGTGAGATATTGGAGAGATTTACTTTTCGATTGATATGACATCGTTCAAATGGCCGCGTCGGCTTTCATGACATGGCCTCGGCCGAGAGGTCCAATTTCCCATGACTTTGGCGCACAAACCGGGCTGAATCTCGTTGATGGCTTGAGTAATGTTGGCTTTGAGGGCATCGGTGGTTAAATCATACGATCTTGGTGGCCAGTTGACATCGCCTCCTCGCGAAATAACCACGAACATACGGCGCTGTCTTTGATCGTTAAGCTTGAGCTCCTGCGTCAATTGGATCTTGTATGGGTTCAGACGCAGAATTCGCCAAGTTGAAGCTTGCGAGAGGCCCAGTTCTTGTGCGCGACGCTGAATAGACTGCCGTGGGTTCTCCTGCACACTTTCACGTACAGCGGCGATATTATCGGCAGACCTTGCGTTCACCGAACCAGTTTCCTCGAATTTGTTCATCACACTGCGAATAGTCCTCTCGGTAGGACGATTATTGCGACTGTAAAATGGGTGAAGCGCTCGGAAGGCTGCTCGCAAAGAACACTTACTTTGATAAAACAATTTTATCATTTGCACTTGCTGTTGGACGGTAATTTGGAAAGACACACTGAATAAATGACAGCTAATTAGACACTTGTAGCTTCAAGCAATGAACCGTCAAAGTTAGGAAATCTTTATTGGAAAACCCTTTATAATTATAATAATTCAATACTGAAATGACAACTTCAATTCCAAGATTCCAAGCTCAGGGAAGGCCTGCCAAAGTTCAGAGAAGTTCTGCCAAAGTTCAGGGAAGCCCTGCCAATGTTCAAGGAAGGCCTGCTGAACGTTGTCCTACTGAAGTTCAGGGAAGTCCTGCCATTTCAATTCTTGGAAATCAGGGAAGTCCTGATGAAGTTCAGGTTCCTGCCGAAAATCAGGTAAGGTGTGCCGAAAATCGAGGACGTCCTGCTAAACTTCAGCGGAGTCCTGCTAAACTTCAGCGAAGTCCTGCCAAAGTTTAAGGAAGTCCTGCCATTTCAATTATTGGATGTTGGTTTATGTTCACAATGGTGGATCCAAGATGGCGAATAAATTCAAAATGGTAATTCTTTGATAAAATGTTCGATCTTTCAAAATATATTACTGTTGTATGCCTATAAGTTCACTATTGAAATTAGAAATTTCAAATCCAAAATGTTGGATAGTAGGAAAATAGTCGATCTTCTTGTGATTCGTCAAAACACGGTCGTACAAGAGCCTTGCACGGTTTTTGGCCATGTGCCGGTTCGGATGTTTACTGGCTTGGTACGACTTGTATCCTTCCCTGGTAAAGATGTTCCGCAGCGTTTGAAAGTTGGCGTTGTACCTTCTGGCCACATCTCAGATCGAAAGACCAGGGTTGGCTTTAACGCACCTCAACACCTTGCTGCGCAGCTTTTTTCGAAGGTCCGCTGATTCCTTTCCACACTCAGGGTTTCCTTGTAACACTCGGCAAACTGTTATTTTCGGCATCTTCAGCACTTTAGCCAGCTTGGAACCGGACCATTCCGGATTTTCCAGGTGTTTGTGCACAATATTTTTTCTTCTTTCGAGTTCCATTTGACGTTATTTCTCGACTACTTTGATCAAACTATCACCAGTTGTGCTCTATAGAAGAGTGAACAAATCACTGTCAATGATTTTCGATTTCCAACACTACACTGAAACAAATCGACATGTACCGTTTATTGGATCCATCTTATAACATAGCAATGTCAGCAGATTTATTCATTCTATGTGATGATTGATAGATTCCATTGGATTATCACTTAAAAACTAGACTGCGATATGGAATGATTTCAATCGTAATTTCACATACTTAGTACTTGATAATACTTTGCTTCGAGCGGGGTTAGCGATAGGTAAGACGTATTTGAATATTGTCTGATATATTTCATAGTGAAAAACTGTTGATATGTCATGGGTGGGAACAGACATCTAGAAACTAATGGAAAATGATATAAGTTTGCACTATGAGAAAATCCAGTAAAATATACCTACTTTGACTATATGTTTTAGTATTACTTCTGCGTGAAGTCAACGATTTACATAGTTGAAGATGCTAATTTCAAATAACAGACTGTAGTGGTAATTTTTATACGTAATTGGAGTAGATGAAAGCATAGAGTTGATAGTTCCGTTAGAGTACGGCAGTGTGAAAATTGCATATAGAAAGTAGAATAGCGAGCTAGGACAACTTTTAAGGAAGGTACAAATCGGTTTTTTCATCTCTCTTTACCAAACCCCCCCCCCCCCCCTTTGGAAAGGGATGGTGAGGGGTGTCAAAAATATATTTATGTGTCAAAAGAAGAAGTAAATTTCATGTGATTTTCACATAAACTTTACTTCGATTGATTTATGACACATATATTATATTGTGGTGAAAAGTAAAGCTTATGGGTTTTAAATTATCAGCATTGTAAATGTATCAGATATTCATATAGAATTTACCTGACACATTTTCTATCATATCATTTTCATTGGATTATCTTATAGCGCAAATTTATTAGACTTCCACATAACAGGAATAAATCATAGTGGTTCAGTGTAGAGGCGTGCTAGCGGCGTGTAAGGAGCGTACCCCAATTTACTTTTAGTCAGCCTTTACTTGTGTAATTGATGAGCAAATTTAGCGACCACTGTGATTGTGATCCTAAAATTGAAGGTAGAAAATGGTATGAGATAATTTAAACAATAAATCGATCTTGTTTACTTTGCACGGAAAAGTTTTTTCGATTGAGCGTTGCGTTATTTTTTTTTAAATCGGTGAAGTGAGTCATTCTCAACCTATCCACTTGCACCTTAATGGGTTCCTTCAAGCTACCATTGTATGGGTCAAGATTTCCGTTGCGCTCCCTCTGTTAAGCGTTATCACCGAGCTCCGGTTTGCTAAACTGACGAGCTGTTAGCTGGTGGTGGAAGTGATTTGGCAGACCCATTTGTGACATTTCCGCTGCTCTTTCACATTCTCTATTCTTGCGTTATCACCAAGCTCCGATAAGATCCACAGTCTTGCCAGAGAGCGCTGTGAGAGGTTAGTTTAGTGCTGTCCGTGCGAGGGAGTATAGACTTTTTCCCATAATCCACTCTCCTGATTAGTTCACAAAATGTTCTTATATTTTTCGTTAAATTACTTAATTGTTTAACTATTTACACTATTTGTGGCATACACTATAAAAATTACTAAATAAATTCTTCGTCGAATGACATATTGCATGACATGTTTCTGATTGATGGTTTTGATAAATATGCATTTGAAATCTTCCCCATTTTCGTTACATGTCTCATTTTAGATTTCCTATTGTAAACCCCAGTAAGGTAAAGAAAGACGTCAACAGTTTCAATATCCGATATTTAACGTATATGTACATATTTCATATAGGGTTAATGTCGCTTATGTCGACCTAAATTTTCGAAGGAAAGCATATGATTCAATAGCATATGATGATAACAATCTTTAGATCCATAAGCCAACATTAGAGCCATTTACTCTATCAACTTGAATTAGTAATTGTGGCGACAATTCTACGCGGAAAATCATATGAAAATGAAAAGACGAATGTCTTAAGTTTCTGATTAGCATTGAATAGATAGTAATAATAATAATAATAATAATGTGAATGATGCTGATTTGGTTGTTTGGACTGCTTTAAAAATCTCACATGGCCCACACGTGCTGAAACCATGCATAGTTATACAATATAACAGCAAAAATCATACGATATGCTTTCCGAAAACTATGCCTCGAAATCCTCTGCATGTATCCTTTTTCGAAACATCCATTATATTCCACTCTAAAACTGCTCCCAATATTTTTCATTTTCCAAGATAACCGTTAAACTTTTCGTTTGCCCATCATTGCCGGAATCGAGTCTTAGACCCACCACGGCGATAAGAGGAAGCCCACAAGGTCAGCACCAATAGATCCTAGCAATATCTGCGCGGTGGTTGAGGAGATGCTAGAAGGCGATAACGAGCGATATTTACCGGGTGCTAACGATGCAATTTGAGCAAAACGATAGAGTAAGCACTACTTACTCGCCTTGCCTCGCCTGGTGAGATGTAATTTAATTTTACCCAACATTTATTTACCAACAGAATGGCTTGAATGGGAAAGTTTGATGCTGAAAGTGTCGCTAAAATGGAACCGGACCGGAATGAAGTTTAAATAAAATTTCAGAGCAATGTGTTTCTTTTCGGATTGCGGTTCTTCCAAGTGTTACGAGTCGCGTGGAAGTAACTTTTTCCGTTTATTTTCCTCGGTTGAATGGTTGGCGGCAAATTGCCAAAGTTATGGGATGTGAAAGTTTTTCCTTTTGTGAATTTCCACTGATTTCCAACTTTACAATAAGAGGTGCTGAATGTGGTTTTGTTATAACGTATAGGGGTGGGTGGACTTACCTGAAGAACATCAGAATCACCAGAAGATTGCCGAACAATCCGAAGATCATCATCATGAAGTAGATGAACCCGAGGAAGTAGTGTGAAGTCGACGACGGAGGGTCGAACTGCAACCAGAAAGGATTGATTCGGTCCCGGAAGGCATCCTCGATGGTAGGCCCACTGTAGCCGGACAGGGCGATGTACCTACTGTGCGAAAAAAAGAGAGATAATAATACAAAGGATGGGAAAAGGTTCCGAGACTGTAATCTCTTCCGTTCACAGCTGAGTAAATTTAATTATAGGAATTTGCAAATCTCTTGCAAGAGCTCAAAAGTCTGCGGCCGTTGGTTGTCTGCAGTGGTGTAGACAACCGGGGCTGCCTTGGAATTGGTTTAAGAATGTTAAATTTTGAATCCTTTTATTTGAAAGTTGAAACTTCAGAGCTTAGACGGATTGGTCACATAAATCAAATAATTAAGATGGGAGGCGGCTCCGGCGTAGTGGTTAGCTTCCATACCTCTCACGCCAAAGTCATGAGTTCAAATTTTATCATCTAACGACAAGTATCGAATGACACCGTAACAACTGACCATGCGGTGGAACTTTCTGAACCAGTAATTTAAAGAATCTTCAAAGTTGGCTTGAAATTTCCGCTACGCCAATGTCTTCTTTGGCAGCTTGGACCGTTATAACAGCTGCTGGATGTAAACGATGTAATTATGTATACTTAAAATGTACTTAAGATAGCCGAACCTTGATTGCAGATAAGAGTTATAGCCAGCACTAGAAACAATGGAAGCTGTAAATTGAAACTGCTGTCTGAGATGGGGACTGGTCGAAGGAAAATAAGACAGTCGATTATTGCTTGCGGTCTTTGATCCTCGGAGAGAGAGGAAATTGAGAATTGAGTACAGCAGCCTCAAATCGATTGATCAAATATAATACACTCGATGAGTGGTCGATGCCGCCACTCAAATATGCTTCTGTAGTTAAAATTAAAAATATGGAATTGTTCCAACCCTCATCAATCATGGTCAGCGTGCTGGACTGACAGATTTATTCCTTTAGCTCACAATGCCACGTACATTTGGCTTCGGTGCTGGCATTTTTCTTTAACAGCTTGTCAAAGTTCTCCAGTTTCAACGGAAAGGCAACGATCGCACATGGATCTCTCGCATATTTGAATTTCAATGTGATACTGCATCCGAGGGTAAGGATTGTCATCCTTGTTGTAGATGGAATGTACCAATTGCATTTCTTTTTTCATTTTCCCAGCGAACGGCAGCTGTTGAGAAAACGTGCTACAGCGGGTGATTCTGCACTTAACCGAATCAAGGTTACGGAGGATATGCAGCGACACACCAATCAGCTCCCACAATCAACACTCGCTTTTCAAATATGGATGGAAAGTGTCACCTTCAGCTGGGAAATAGTTGATGAAGGTGTGATGGTGATTCCACTGCACCCTCTCTAGAATGATTATTCATGTGGGTTAGTTTTACATTTTCCAGCTCGGTGAGTTGAAACCAAACCACAGAATGCTCTATGGATTTATTTCGAGTCAAATATTTATAATAATGGATGAGGAATATATTTAGAACCTTGGAATGCATAGCAATTGAATTTACTTGGATTTGAAATGCTTTCGATGTCAAAGTTTCTTCACGTTACACAATTATGGTATTTTAAGAACCATGATGAACGGAGTTCAAAAATTATCTTAAATGAATTAAATTATATTTTCTTATCTTTATTTTGATATTGAACAATTCCACGCCAACTGACGAATCGATCGGACTCGACCTTCTTCGATTTATATGAATTCCCTTTTGGGAGCTCACAAAATTTTTGAAAAACTTGTAAAGCCTATTCCACCGCTTAAAGAAGGTGGTAACATTTTGATAACAGATTCGAAACAAATCACAGAAACTTGCTAAGCAATTCGAGAGTTCCCATAATTTCAGTTTGGGTCTTACTAGTGTCCTCAGGCATGGAAGACCATTTGCATTCATTTACATTCATTTGGCCCTAACTTTTTTTTTATCAACAGAGTTCCTCAAAATGATGTATGGAACTTTTGTAGGTTTTGCTATTACCTAAACTTTTGTTAACAACTCAAATCCGTATCTCCGTATCATGACGAACCAGAGCGAACAGAAGCCACTACTGTTTTTCAGTGAATGTATTTTACATTCACTGAAAAACAGTAACAAGTTCTGCCCGCTCTTATTCGTGATGCATAAGAGATACAGATTTGAGTTATGGGCAAAAGTTGTAGCTAATAACTAGCGGACTGCTGTTGTTACCGTTTTGGTTCCTGTACCCTATTGATTCACTTCGAGCGAGAAAAATCAGGAGATAGCGAGAGTGAGGAATAGGGTATATGTGTGTTCATTGTGAATTCAATCTGTATGTCAGTTTCTTGCATGCAATATTGTCTTGTTTTTGAATGTAAATATAAGTAAATATGTACTTGTTCATGCAGGCAACAACTACTACCTCTACCCTTAGCATATACAATTTACTGTACCAACCGATAGATGTCACTACTTAGTTATGTTGTATATTGTAGCTATTCGTTATTGTTCCTCTGTCATGTGCTATGCCTGTCATATTAATATAGTTTAATGCCTCCGCCATGGCAGAACGGCCAATAAATCGGCCTCTTTTAATTAATTATAACACAACGTAAAAAATCGGGTCCTACCGTGCGCGATCATATGATATGGGGCCGTGACCAGGATATTCGACACCGTCCCGGTCAAAGCATACGTCCGAATCACGTGGGACGATCCACTGGGCGCTTGCTCCCGCCATATCACTGGTAGTGATTCAATTCATTCAAGGTTCGAATAATCGGGCATCAGGTCTCGCAGGTCTCGCAGGTGCCCTTTAGATTTCTTTTTTCTTGCCTTTACATGTTTTACTGCCGGCGAACTGGTGTGTCGATTGCCAAGCCATTTGGAGCACATCTATAAACAAATTCTCGCCATTGTGGGGACATTCCGTCCGGCTATTCAAATACCGCCATCGCGTTTTCGGCTATCCAGAGCCATTGTGGAAGGATAGAAGCTGCTATCCAAGCAACACCGCTCCGCCATTGTATTCAGGCCATCGTTGAACAATCGGCGCATTGTTTCAACGGTTTTGTGACGCCATTCCTGCACGTTCCTGCTTCGGCTTCCTTGCAAGCGGCAGTAATCACCTAGCAACGCCTCTTACGGCAATATTCTGGATTTTTTGAGTGGCAACGAAACTTTTCAACAGCCAATTACGCCACTTTTCGGTGATTTTCCTGGAGTTTCACCGCCATCCTACATCATCGCTTGCCATCAAGCTCGGTCAGCACGGGCCGTGTGCATCCGCGTTCCAGTTTGCAGTTTTCTTGAAATTCAAGGCACATACTTGCCTTGGAACTGGTGAGTATCATTCCAAGTGACTATCTCTTTTTGTCCGGGTCTATCGTGGTCTTATTTGTTTGACAAACCCTTTTTCGTCTACGGAGCATCGAGTGCCGTGTTACCCATTCTAAGATGGCGCTTCAGCTAAATAAGGCGACTCTGATATCCCGGAGGGTAACGATGATCACCGCGCTGGGTCGGACAGAGGCGTTCGTGAACTTCTTCGACGAGCAACGCGATCGGATGCAGGTGCCCATTCGCCTTGAGTACCTGAACAACATGTGGGCCACGTTGGAGGAGGTACAGGGGCAGCTAGAAGACATCAAAGACAGCGAAGAAGGTAGGCAAAGTAATGCTGATTATAGACTGTCTAGTTATAGACATGCGAATGCAAAATCCGTAGATCTGGCGACTGAAAATATACCACCATAAATTTGCCAGCACTGGAAAAAGTTCAATCGCCTCATGACTCAAAGCAAAAATCAAAACAAACCGATTTCGGCAGCAGCTTGTTTGTTGATTTTTACTTCCTCATTCGTTTTTCACCTGTTTCCGTCGGCTAATGTCCCAAAAATAAAGTGCTTTTTTCCACATGGTGAAAATGAGTCCCGAAGCGAGCTCCAAAACGTGGCTCTCTCTGATAGTCACCGTTTGTGTAGTGTAAGTTTTTATTAAATAAAATTTCAAAGAAGATTGCCAAATGGTCAGACGACAGCGTAACTGAAGGATTCAGGACCAGATTTATTTGCGGTTCTACAGCATACGAGGTAGAGCATAAAAAACGCTTTTTGCCTAGTACACGAACCCTCCAGGAGAAACTTCAAAACATACACTTCGACCATGGCTGCCTTGATGAAGTTTTGGAACTTCTACAGCACAAGGTGAAAAGCATGTCTGAAATGGACAAAGACGCTGCTATTGTCTTCGACGAAATGGCTATTCATCCTGGCTCGAGCTATTGGCTCTAACTTGAAAAAGTATGTTGGTCCTGTCACACTTTCCGGTAACGGTGAGCTAGCGAACCATCTATTGGTATTCATGCTAGTTGGTTTGAGGTCCCGGTGGAAGGAAGTGGTTGGATACCATTTCACCGGGGATTCGATAAAAAATGGAGGAATCAAATCGATACTCTTCGAGTTAATCAACAAGGTTGAAGCGATAGGGCTGCAGGTGCATGCCGTAATAAATGATTGTGGAGGTATTTTTTTAGCTTGTCATAAGAAGTTTTTTTTTAATTAAATTAATTGTTTTACTATTTTCTATGAGGAACAATTGAACTACCGGAAGCTGTGGTTCAAAAACATGGGTTGTCTGGTTCTACAGCAGATATCACCCACCTAACAGAGCTGGTTGCATATGAAGCGCATTGCGATTTAAAAATGGCTTGCGGGTTGACAGAAGACGACGTCAACTTTTCAAAACCGCACTCTAACTTTGACAAAATGAAGGTGAAAAATGCTACGAAATACGCTAATCATACTGTGGTATCAGCATTGCGATGCTTCAGTGCTCAGAGTGGGCGGAAAGAGCTTTTGATTACGGCGCTCTTCCTTGAAATGGCGTCAACATGGTACTCGTACATGACCGCTAGAACTCCGGCTTTAGCACTCAGCTACAAGAACCAAAAGGCTTATGCTAATGCCATAAATGCACTGAAAGACTTTAAGGAACTTGTGTATGGCTGCCGTGTGGGAATCAAAAAGTATTGGAAGCCATGGCAAGCAGCAATTATCCTTACTACTGACAGCATGCTTCGGCTCCACAAATACTTTTTGAATTTAAGGAAGTAGGACTTCTTCTTGGGCGGATTGCCTCGAGAATGTATTTTCTCAACTGAGGCAGCGCCAAATGCGGCCCACAACACTCCAAGCAAAGGACAACATGAAGCTACTGAGTATGGCGCAATACATGGCTGACATCAAGAATAGCTCGTATGAATAGGATTCGCGAGAATGGTTGGTGGGATTCTCGGATCGGCTGAAGGAAAGAACAGGCAAGAATTCAGAAGAACAGTTAGGCGAATTAGAAAGCTCAGCAGCAGGTAGTTCGTCCTCTGGTTTTGTTAAAAGCGAAGAAGACCTAGGCCAGTACTGCGAGAATTTGTGCAGCAGATCGTCCGAACAAAATGTCGTATATTACTTGTCAGGCATGATTGTCAGGCAGGTATCTCAACGTAATTCCGTTTGTAAGCAATGCATCAACAGTTGTCTTGCAGAATCTTCGTTGGAAGCGGCATACACTTTGTTTTCCAGCCTCAAAGACTATACAGGTGACGCTTTAACAACCGTTAATGAGGCAACGTTCATTTTTTTGTGGAACTAGAGGAAACGTTTAAGCAACAAAAAGAGATCTTGATGACTAAAAATGAGAATCTGGAAAAACTTTTGTGGAACAAAATGAATAGAATTCCAGCATCTCACATTGTCGACTGTCATGTATTGAAAAATAAGTTGATTAACAGATACATCCAGTTTAGGCTAAAGGTGAACCACGTGAAACTAACAAGAGAAAAACGATGCGATAGTCGTTCAATGGCAGTCTGAAGAATGTTGAAGCAATTAACTGAATAAATTATTCTGTAAAAATTCACAGTAGTTTGTAGTTTTATCTAATCTTTAGTATAAAGAACACATCTGGTGAAACTTAATTCGTCAAATACACCTTAGTTTGAATGTTGGTTCTTAAATCTACTTTAGGACCAAGCTTCATCCAAACCGTTTCAATAATTTTTCATATTCGAACACTTTTCTCTGGAAAATCGAGGTGAATTGTTCTCACTCACTGCGTAAGCTTTTACCAATTTCAAATTTAACTAAATAATACGTTTTACTTTCGAAACATAATATTCCAAATAATTTAATAAATCTTTAATATCCAAAATTACAATACTTCCCCCAACAAAAACGTGTAACATTTCTTCTACTCGTTTGGATACACGCTCTGACAGTTCTTTTGGATACATCAAACTGACATCCGCATGTCTATAACTAGACAGCCTATAATGCTGATGTCCGTGCCGATTTTGAGCCGCGGCTCTTCAGAATAACAGCCGATTTGATCTCCAGACTTCCTGTTGTCACTCAGCAAGCTCGCATCCCTGAAACTTCTTCGCACAGTTCCACTCTCTCTGGGTTGAAGCTTCCTACAATTTCGCTTCCTGAATTCGACGGGGACTATATGCAGTGGCTAGGGTTTCACGACACATTCTTGGCTTTGATCCACTCTAACGCCGAGGTTCCTGCGATTCAGAAATTCCACTATCTGAGGGCAGCTTTGAAAGGTGAAGCGGCGCAGCTGATAGAATCTATCGCGATCAGTTCTGCAAACTACAATTTGGCATGGCAAACATTGGTTGACAGGTACGCACATACACTGGTGGACGAATTCCAGCGTCATACGAACATTTTGTGTCAACTAGGTGAACCAACGGATTCCTGGGGCAGCATCTTGGAACATCTCCTGTGTACAAAGCTTCCCAACGATACGCTCAAGGAATGGGAAGATCACGCGTCAACCACCAACGAGCCAAACTACAACTGCCTGATCGAGTTTCTTAAGCGTCGTATGCGAGTTTTGGAATCCATCTTGGTGAACCATCATCAGCTTGCATCCACTCCGAATGAGTCCACGCATGCTTCCAGGAAGCCATCGCATTTTCGCCTCTCGTCTTGCGCTTCCACTTCTAGTTCTGGTAGCAAATGTCCGGCTTGCTTCCAGGAACATCCGTTGATGAAATGTGCGAAATTCAACCAACTTTCACAGTCCGAACGACAGCAACTCGTTTCCAACAAACGTTTATGCCACAACTGCCTGAAGGGTGACCACATTGTTCGAAATTGTCCTTCGAACTACAACTGCAGGCACTGCAACAAGCGTCACCACACCATGCTGCATTCCGGCGGGAATTCAAGGTCAGCAAGCGAGTCATCCTCCGTTCGTACTTTTATGCCAACTCAAGCCATTCAGTCTAGCGGTTCTTCTGTACCCAAGCCAGCCTCCCAATCCTCCGTTGCAGCAGCTGAAAGTATTTCCAGGGTCATCGTCAGTGCTTCTGCTCCGCAGCCTCGAGAAGACGTTTTCCTTTTGACGGTGTTGGACGGTGTTGAACCCTAAAACGTTAATTAGATCAAATTCATCTTCCTAATGGATTATCACCAAACCTACCCCGTAAATGGTCCACGTTTATTGATCTGAACTGATACGAGGCTGTCCATAGCCACTAAATGTCCCTTTGAAATCCAATTGCCATCATTTTGGATCCTAAAATGGAAGCAGACATCGATTTTGGGCCTATACACGTCATCCCCATTAATTGTTTACGTTAAAGCAAAAGTCGCCATTTTCAATTTCAAAACGGTGAGCGGCATCGATATCTGATCTCTACACGTCGTTTTCTATCCAAAAATACCCATATTGTGGAATTTGACAGTTTTTCTTGAACCGATGGCCACCATCTTGGATTCTAAAATTACGTCTGGCATCGATTTCCAGCCTCTACACGTCATCCGCTTTCTGAAAATACCCATATTGTACGGTATTTGACAGTTTTTCTTGAACCTATGACCGCCATCTTGGATTCCAAAATGACGTGTGACATCGATTGCTGGACTCTACACGTCGTACCCTTTCCGAAAATACCGATATTGTAGCGTATTTGACAGTTTTTCTTTTTGAACTGGTAGTCGACATCTTGGATTCCAAAATGCCGTCTGGCATTGATTTCCGTCCTCTACACGTCGTACCCTTTCCGGAAATACCCATATTGTAGGGTATTTGACAGTTTTTCTTAAACCGAAGGCCGCCATCTTGGATTTCCAAATGGCGTCTGGCATCGATTTCCAGCCTCTACATGTCGTTCCCTTTCCGAAAATACCCATATTGTAGGGTATTTGACAGTTTTTCTTGAATTGATGACCACCATTTTGGATTTTAAAATGGCGTCCGAAATCGATTTACAACCTCTCTACACGTCATCTCTATTCCGTTTCGTATTCTCACATTGCACAGCAACATCTTATATGGACAAGCTTTCCAGAAATAACATATTAAGGAAGTTCATGTGCACACTAGTGCCGCGTAGTGAGAGAATTCTTAAATAATATGACCACCATCCGAAAGCACTTGGTCGCCTGAACAACTTTGCTGAAGACATTAACCTTCTATATGGCCAGGATTTTGAGATGCAGCTGATATAGGAAGCTCATGTGCACACTAGCGCTGCGTAGTGAGAGAGTTCTGAACTAATATGACAACCATCCGAAAAGACTTGGTCTGAAGACAGTAACTTTCTTTGCTGAAGACAGTAACTTTCTATATAGCCAGGATCACGATATATTCTATGTTGGACCTAAGATCCATATTATAACGCCCGTCATTAGTAACATAAAAGTGAAGCGCCTCTAGCGGCGTAGTTCCCAATCAAACCTGAATCCAATGACACAGGCTTGTTGGTCTATCTCAATACAACATATTTGTCCAAGACAGTATAGCTCTATATATTGAAACAAATGAGATAATCCACCTATTAGTGAAAATCCCATAAGCTGTGGGTATCCTTATTCGCGGATAGCCCGGCATTAAGGATCCGGCAATAAGGGATACCGGCAATAAGGATTCCTGACTGTATTTCATTATCATGCTACCACTCCGATCGAGCTGTGTTGCAGAGAGAGTGTTTGTCGTGGTAGTCGTAGCAAGCGTTTTGTTACTTTATGTATTTGGATTCGCTGGTCACAACCTGTTCAATGCAGTTGATAATCGTAAAAAAAAATCAAATTACCGGAAACATGCTTTGTGCCAAAACAATTTACAGCGGGAAGGGAAATGTTCGCTTGGTTAAATATCAAGCCTAGTTACAATGGTTCACAGCTAGCTATATTTTGCCTAAAGCGAGATAAGCAGATAAGTTTCAAATGGACCAGTTACGTTATCGTTTCAAGACCAATCGTAAGTAGAAATCTGCGCTGGAGAAAGTGGTGGGATAAAAGCTGAATAAAGCACGCCATGATTTCATTCGTGGAACACGAAAAATTTAAATTATCATCTTACGCCTTTCAATTGAAAAGTTAATTGCCAACCAGACGGTTACTTAAAGTTAATTTATTTTGCAGAATGCTGGATGTAAAATAATTTCTACTGTCATCATCCGGCTTCCCTCCATAGCGACAGACACGATTCCGTTCGACGACGATGCACGTGCCATTCTTATTTTTGGTTTCCTTTGAACTCTGGGATGCCTTCTCTGAATACACAAGATTCCGTATCGTTTTCACTTTCATATCCCGAGCGAGAATAATGATGGGATAAGCCTTATCTCAAGTGAGATTTGAGGAATGTGACGTAGCGTAAATTCAATTTGCCATAAAATTCCGTTGGCATCTTGTAAACGGCACCACCTTTTGAGCTCTCGTGAGATTAAATATTTTTCGGTCGGTCTAAAAACCGAACTACACAGAGCAAAACCCACCTCCAGAGGGCGCTGACGTTGACGATGATCGTTGTCTCCTCGACAATGCCCCCGTTGGCCAACGACGAGAGCTGATCATTCACGGTTGCACTGATCGTCTGCAGCGATGCCATCATCCGGGATGACTGCGGCAGGTGGTCATCTGTCGGATAAAAATAAATCAAACCATCAGTCTTCATTTCCCGAATTTGACTCTGTTACCTTCGAGACCGACGAACGGGGGGCGGACCAGTTGCGTTAATGTGTTATCACCGGTGGCATCTTGCTTTGTCAACTCGTAGTTGGCACTGGTGTTTGCGATTATCTCGCACAGCACGAACAGAATTGCCGCAAATCGTTTCGACATTTTTACCGGAGTCTGTGTGTGTGTTTTGTTTTCCGAAGAAAAACGAGGGGGACTCTTTTTCGCTAGGATGGCTTTTCACAGGAGTCCCGAGGGTGTGCTTGGGGTTGTTTAGATCAGCAGATTACTGCCGATTTCCGGTTGGCAGGTTGTGGTGGCCATCCACGTGTTCCGCACGGTTCTATAAACTTTTCCCTGGATTGATATGCTCGGACATCTGGAAAATGAGAGTGGAAACCAAACAAAAGAAAATCTATTAAGATCCATTGATGAATGGAAGGAAATGCAAGGAAGTTTACGAAACGTGATTGGCTTTGATAAACGGCAGGTGTGCGGATCTTCCGCGAAGAAAATGACTCTTTACAGTGAATGATTTTTCCGCAGGGATAGATTTCAATCGCTAGTACACATCGGAATTATCGCCCATTAAACATAATGGCGCACTCGTGGGGCGAGCTAATGTGATTAACTTTTGATAGAAATCGGTCCAATTTTAAACCTAAATCATGGACCCGTCGAAGATGTCGCCATGATGTAAGCTGATCATCCCAGCGGCAAGAACGCAAAGGAAACATAAAACTGTCAACGTTTTTTGTTTTTGAATTCCATCAATAATTCATACCCGCTCGAGTTGAAGGGGGATAATCCAGTCTAACATATCCACATATCTTGGCTACGGACGGAACGATGCTGATTCCCACGTATTAATGTGTGTAACAGCTAGTAATTTTGGTCGTCTGCCGTGACGCCGGGGGGGCTACCGTAGGCTATTATTAATATATCTTGTTACGACCATCTCTTATCCGGCAGTACGGTAAATGGGGTCTCGTATCTTGGGTTGTTGTTGATTACGTCGTTAGTCGGTTGTGTTCTTCCACTCGTAGTGACAACAACTGACATTAGGGGGAAATAATTTCGGTAGAAATATCAAAATACGGTGAAAGCATTTCGTCGCAGTTTGAAGATTCCACGATGTAAGTTGCGTATTTTTCTATTTCCATTATGACAAAACGATAGCAACTTGGACTGAAAATAACCTAGCCTGGACAACGGTGTACCATTATTAGCCAGAATTATGCCAACGAAAACTTGTTCTAAATTCAATATAATTATATTGCTAACAATTATTTTATTTGTCAAGTGAAGAAGTACTCGACCAACTGAAAGTTGGGAACCTTGCTATTTTCAATATTATTGAAATCCCGGCAGGACGACACGTCATGCAACAATGGCTGTCCCCACAATCATTAAATAAAGGTGTTTTGATATGCGTACGAAAGACATCTTCTTACAAAATAGTAAATTGCTAATTACATAGGGGAAAAATGATGGCTTCGGCATGACAGACTATTTTCGGCAACCCAAATCGAAACGCTAATTTCACGGGATTTTATTACGAAAACACTTAGCTGAATGTATTCAAACGATTCTTTATGCGTTCAGCTTCAATTTGATTATATTTTTAAAATTGAGAAAAGCAATCTAACAAGGATTTCTTGAAATGAAACACACGCACTACAAAATACTTCTTATTACGAGTTGCCGATGAAAGCACAGCTGTTTAACACGCAGCCCAAATAGAAAGGTTGCCGAATAAAATAGGTTGCCCACAATAGTCGCTCTCACTAGAGAAGATTGGAGCTTTGTAAAAGCGTTTCAAAACAGTTTTTGACTATTCTTTCGACTGAAATTGTTAGAGCAGCGAGCAGCAAAATATTATAAACAAACCAATACTGCATATGCGAGCGTTCCTTAGAGAAAAAAGCTATAGAAAGATGGTCGCTGCTTAGGTTGCCGAGAATACGTAAATTCCCCTACCTTAAAAAATGGGCCAGAATTGTATGAATAAGATCTGGATACATATCCTAACACTTTTCGACCAAAATAGTGCCAATTCATTCACGCATTCGTAATATTTGCATAAAAAAGTACGACCCTTTTATTAAATTTGAGTATAATCATATTCACTTTCTTTTGAGACTAACTGCTTTTGGGTAGAAAGTGAATTTTCAATTGCCTACGAATTGAACACAAGTAAATGAAAACTACTTTGACCCACTGTTCCTACTTTTGGCTTTCTGCACTATAGTCAACCGTAGCCCCATTTTAGTATAAATTCTAGTACTTGTTTTGTTTTGATTCACTATGAAAGTTTGACAGCTCAAATGAGGGGTTCGTGGATTTTCCTATGTCTCGAGGGGAACATTGATTAGCTTGGTAGGTCGTATGTAACCAAAGTGTACAAAGTGTGGGTTTGAATCAATCAATCAACTACTATGAATACTTGACTTGGTTGGACTTGGTGGCTAGGAGCATGATTATTTTCTGTGTAGGAAGAGGTTTCCTGGGGAGGTGGTCGTTAATATTTTAATAATAGAATAATTTAATTTGATTTAATAGAAATGTAGTGATGGATTCAATATTGGATGGTAAATAGGTAATATTTAATAATAACGAAGGTTGAAATTTACAGTAAGATTGATATCTTTTTTTATTTTTTTTTTATTTCTTTATAAACTGTTACAAATTCGACCTAATAATAATGAACTCTAGCAGCTATGTTTACGATAGGTACGGTAGTGCATGATGTTCTTTCACACCACTACAGTATCAATGATAATCAATTCACTGACACATAGAAGAAAAAACAGCAAAAACAGTATGACGTATCGTATCACCTTAAACACAGAACAGAAGGGGAAATACAAACAAATCAGTGAATCAAAAAGTAGTAGACGTTTTTCTGCTCAACAAGCGATGCGTTGTGGTAGCGTTCCACAGAGCTTTCTATGCGCACTCACACTATCATAGCATGCTGCCTATCTTAACATCAGGCAGAAAATGCCTTCTACCGCTAGGTGCGCTGATGTTCTCCAATGACAAGTGGAGCCACTTTCTGATCCGAAGTTCCCCTTCTGTTCTGTGCCTTGAAGCTAGTTGCTCTAACCAGGGTGAGAGCCTAAACTTATTGAGTAAAGAGAGTCTCAATCAATTGATAATATAGTTTTTAGCTCAAGAATACCTTTTAGATTTTATGCCCAAGAGCCAGTGCTCTAACTATTGTGCGAGTCTATTCTACTTTGGGTATCTACAGTTTTATTGAACTAGAAAATTACCAAGAAGTTCCTATATGCCCTTTTGGTATGCGCTTATCTATCTTGCGCGCATATGTTACAACTCTATGCTATGCTATACTGCCCTGAGCGCAAAAATCAGACATAGACCTACACAGCAAAAAATAAATTTTTAGATTACATCCAAGAGGATGAACTTCAATCATGTCGGAAATCTCATGTAATTTTTATGGCCACAAAAACAAACAAATGCAGTAAAAGCAGCGTAATGTCAGTTCATGCACTGTATTAATGATATTTTTTTTTCTTTTTGACATGTAATATTACACCATTGAAGTGCATCCACTTTGATGTGATATCAAAAATAATTTTTTGCTGTGTAAATAAGCAATCTAGACGTCTTGTAATCTTAGCTGTCTAAAATCACCGCTTTGAGATCAAGAGCAAATTTTCATTATGTCGTAAGTAACATTCACACAGATCCGAGAAAAATAAAGTTTTGTTTTGATGACCGAAAAGTAATTCCTATTTCCAATTAAACTCATATAATCTCATAGTGATAGCAATGTTTAACATATTCAGCAGGGTTTAATCATACAAATGCAAATCACTAGCTTTCATGCTAAAAAATACTGGTTTTTGAGTCAAAAGTTATTATACGTCATTTGGTGGCCGCTATTGTTACTTAAGTCAAAGTGTATTTACCAGGATATTTGGGAGAATTAACAATTACGTCTCCTTACGTGTAGCCCATTCATCATTTTAGGACCACCGAAATCATTTTAGCAACAAACTATTCGATTTATTCACTTTAATAATGAGAAAGCGAAACGACGAACGTACACTTTTCACGGGTTTCTCAGCGCTGTTACTTAAGACAAAAAGCATCTCCATAGAAATCGGGTGACTTAAGTAACATCGAAAACTATTTTGATCGGAAGGTGATTACGTCAAAAAGCAATTTGACTGGTAAATAAATTTAAAAATGGGATGTGATCCTACACTTAAAAAATTCTACACGTTAATGCTACGTGAAAACATATGTGGATTTTTCCATCGCACTTTTCACGTAATACTTATGTGACTTCCATGTAGTGAAGAAAGCTTCCATTCTCAATTTTAACATTGGAGTTTCACGTACAAGCTACGTGAAATTTCAGTATTAACAACGACATATTTCGGTAGATTTTAAATGGAATCATGGTATAATTTAAATTAAAACCAAATGAAAAATATATTATTTTTGGATCAATTGTACTTACTTTTCTATAGAATTTCATTTATTTATTGCATTCATTAAACTAACACATTTACTGGTGTTGCAATAGCGATGAACCTTTTTTCACCTTGGATAACATTATTTTGTGATTCTGCATTCTGTCTATTTCTGGCCGTTTTAGAAGATGGAACAGTCGCCCGGATACTTGAGGGAGATTTTCGAACGCAGGATGATCACGGCGAAGCCGGTGAAACGCTGATGCTGGGGCAGGTGATGCTGGTGGAGTTTCAACTTAATTGTTTTGGTTGTGGAATTGCTTTGGGGACAGCTGATGGAGTGGAAGGTTTCACCGTAAGTTTCATTGCTGGAATAATCTATATGTTTGGAGTAAGTTCTCGTGGAATCGCGGGAACACTGGTTTTCTTCTGTACAGTACAGAGTACTTCCAGATTGTTTTAGTTGGAAGGTTGGAAGAACTTTGGAATTTGGTCCGTAGTTATGTCCTGTAACTCGAAAAATTCAATTCCACACTCTGTAAAACAAATAATACAAATAATACCAAATTATTTATACAATAAAATAACTTTTACCGTTCAAAATCTGTAAATCAGCTAACACCTCTTGCAGTATGTACTGCCGAGTGGCCAATAGAATAATAAGAATATAAAATACGTAGCATGTACGTGAAGGTCAAGCTGTCAAAAGAGTGCCTTCAACGTATGTTATTTTCACGTAAATGTTATGGGATAAAAAAGTGGATATGAAATGTGTTCCTTATGAACATCAAATACTGATAACTAAATTCTACTTGCGTCAGGTAAACTCACAAAAAAATATACGTTTTGAGATCTACGTGATTTTTCACGTAGCATTAATGTGTAGAATTTTTTGAGTGTATATTCGGACAGTAGGGTAACGGAGGTA